CAATGGATTTTTTGCATAAGAAAGACGACCTCATGCAGGTCCTCTAGAAAAATTATTGAACATCTGCGAAGGAGGCTAAACACACTTGGAACTCAAGAAAATAAAACTCATCCGTCAAACCTCAAACTATCCTCTTAAGGTGTCATCTTAGCTCTACTGGTAAGTTATATTTATTTTTCCAACACAACACAAGCTTTAAAAAACATTCTCAATAGGTTATCCTAGCTTAATTAAGGTGTCTCCAGCATAAACCTAGCAATTTTTTAACCCGCTCGTATCTCGTCAAAAACTATCGGATATTTCTAAATTATAGTAGCTCAAACATTTATGCTTCCGTTAAGGGTCGATTTTCCTTACAGTGGTCTTTTACAATAGTGCCTTTTTGTTCGCTTAAAATCGATTGATATTCATGGAATTTTAGATTCTCGGTACTAAATAKATTGTCATGATTTTGTCTGATGAGTTTGGAGAAAATCTCAAGTATTTCCCTAATTTCAAAATATGGATRTRGATACCATGTCTCGTTCTTAAACGGGCCTTCCCTTTAACAAATAGATCAGGCTTAGCTATGTTCTGTTCTCTGATAAAACATGACTGGAGCTGTAGGACACGAAAATAGTTATGGTAATTTCTATAACGTTTTGAGTGTTCTACAGCTTCAGGAGTGTTTTATCAGAGAACAGAACATAGCTAAGCCTGATCTATTCGCTTATATAATAGATTTTTACGAAAAAAATAGCGTAAAATCTTTCAARAAAAGATTTGTTTACAAAAAGAGCGCGCGTCTGTCGTTAAACTCACGCAAACAAATTTGATCTATGCGATGATTGGCTAAAAACGCGACCTATAGCTATCTGATTGGTCCAATTTTGACAGGTAATGACAGATCTGTACAGGCTGGCATACAACTGGTTTATCGCATTTGTTCAATAGGAAAGGAAAATTGCTTGTAAATTTTAGCAAAAAAGCCAAAGAAAACAAGCATTTAACTGCTAGAAGAAATGAAAATTCAAATACTGAAGAGTTTGAAAAACGTTTTCAAAGTTCAGATCGTTAAATGGACATTTAACCTGTACAAACACTCAAGAAAA